TATAGTTTATATAGGGAAATAACACTTTTCGGTATATATTTTATCCATTTTCAGCAGAAAATTGCTCAAACTTAGTCAGAATCATCTTGGGTAAATGAGAGTTTTACTTTGTAAAATTAGGATTCCTGCCCCATCCCCAGGGGCTAGGGCGGGGCCCCAAAGGGAACATTTACCAATATTTCAAATTCTTATCCATTGATGACATGACAAGTATTGTATTTCACTTAGTTTACATGCTGATTTCCACATCACATCTAAACAATAAAATAAAGCTACCAGTATCTATGACATAACTCAGGTGACCGCTAAGGCCCTTGGACCTCTTGTTTAACGTCCTATTAACAGCTTAGGTCATTTATGGACGTGTCTCTATGTGTGTAATGTATGCATGCTTGTGTGTATATGTGCTGGAGGCAGGGTATGCTGGTGTATTCGCCTCCTTGCATTAGTGTGGATCTGATGCCGACTTTAGAGTGTTACCTCACTGAAATAACATGCGTAGTAACCCAGCAAATTATTCCACCTTGTCACATTATACTCCATTTTACAACATGTAGTGGGATACAGCAGGTGATAGAATATACATCATACCAGTCATCAAAACTTCACACATAAACAAGTCACTGGTTGTGCTGTATGAACATGTATTCCGTCTTTGCATATTGCAAAGTTATCTGCTCTTGTGAGCAGGTATTGATTGTTACGTCATTGATTTGTGTGAGAAAATTACATCGTTTTCTCAAAAATTGATGACGTTACTCTCACAAACAAATGACGTAACAATCAATACCTGCTCCCAAGACCAGATAACTCTGCAATACGCAAAGACGGAATAGGTACCAGTTGTATGTTTGTATGTACAAATAGGCTGACATTTACAATCCCCAATATCATCCCTGGTATGTTAACTTAATCTGTATGTACAGGTGTGTTTATATCTATGTATTCCTATGACTTCAACTACAGTTGTACATGTTTGACTTTTAAAAGTTTTTGATTTGTAACCAGATTTATATGTATGTACTCCTATATCATCATTGTGTTTTCTGTGTGTATTTGTGGCAGATTTTAATTGTTTATAGAATTACGGTCGCATTCAAGCTTCGCGCTAGAGGGAATTTCCCTTTAGCTCAATCAGTAGAGCAGCAGACTGGGAAGCTGGGGCTCGCTGGTCAGATCTCCAGTGGAAGCACACTACTCTCTTTCCTGTTACAAAATGGTGTCTGTGACCCTCCTCGTTGAACCTGGAGAACCTGTTAAATCCATTTAGAACCTCGATTGTTGTGGTGATTGAGTGTGAACACATTTAAAGAGGGGGGGGGGGGGGGGGGTAGTGTGGCAGATTTTAATTGTACATAGGATTACGGTCACTAGTTTTGTCCTAGAAGGAATTTCCTTTTAGCTTAGTGGTAGAGCATCTGACTAGGAAGTTTGGGGTCGTGGATTTGATCCCATAGAAGCATCCTACTCTATTTCCTAGCTGTTACACATTTAACATAAGAGATATGTGCATATTTGAATAAAAAAATCCTTCCCTTTTTTTTTAGTCTATCCTCTGCTCCCCCTTCACAACTCTGGCCCTAGTTGAGAAGGTTATGGCCCTGCTGGAGGAGGAAATACAGGGATATGATTCTCTCTGGATGCTGTGTATGCTGAGACTGGACCACGAAAAGGCCACAAAAGTGGTGATAGACAAGTACCCAGTCATACTTGCAGACTACGGCATCTCTATAATGCAGAAAGACATCACTAAGGTAAAAAATGGCTATTAAAGAAAATCTGATATTTAAAAAAGGTATTTAATGGTATCCGTTTTTATTTTAATGCATAGGGTAGAGCTAACGCTTTGGTTTCAGGAATGGTGGAATACTGTATAACAGTCAAATATTTCCCTTTCACTAATAAAATCTATTTACGCCTTGTGTAAATCCGTCCTTCACATATATTTACTAGATAGGGTAAACTGTGTTCTTATATATTATATTCATTTGTTTGTGAGAGTAACATCATAATTTTTTGAGAAAACGACGTAATTTTCTCGCACAAACTAATGACGTAACAATCAATATCTGCTCACAAGAGCAGATAAATCTGCAATACGAAAAGACGGAATACTGTATGTCGGGATATTTTGCACAAGGACTAATTTGTAAAAGTCTTAAGAAGGTTTTAGAAATAAGAAGAAAATGCTGCAATACATCTGAGAAAAACAGTTACAAAAGTGCTTTAGAATGCCATAAATTTTTGCTTAATTCAGAAAATGTCTTTCTATTTCAGTGGAAAGGTTTTTTGAACATGATGATGGCGACACTACAGCAACAGGCTGAGGAGCCTGACCAACGAGAACCCAAGTACTTAGAGGGTCTGAAAGGTCAGTATCTTGACTATATAGAGGTTCCCCAACCAGTGATGGTTGGTTATCATGTTAATCTAACTCCAGTTAGTTATTTTCAAATTGTATAAAGACACACGGTTTATCGTGTTTCTTTAACAATTTGAAAATTAACAAATAAGAGAAACATGTAGATAAACATGATAATCAACTATCGCCGATTAGGGACCTTTTGCTCTCATAACATTCAGACATTATGTTGAACTTTGAGGTCTCAATGGGGGGGGGGGGATTTCCTGATATCAGCTTTCAGGTTGTTGTTTATTTTGCATATAGTTTGCATAAAGTACATGAATTGATATTGATGTAATTGATGTATTCCTCTTCTAATAATTAACTCCATAGGTGTAGAGCAACGTCAGGTAAAGGAATCAGGGGTGATGATTTGGGTACTTGGCTGTGAGTACAGATACCAAGGAGTATGCCAGGCAATTAAAGGAAAAAAATTAAATGACTAGGGGGGACTTATCATAATGTACTCGAGCGTCCCCAATAAGAGGATTTTTAAAGGATTTTTTTTCTATCTTCTAGAATTGCCTCTATAGCTGAGGCTTCATCAGAACATTTTTTCTGTCAGGAAAGTTGTGATTAAGTCCCCCCCCCC